AAAAAAAAAAAAATCAAGCAATCATCAGGTAAAATCAAACAACTGTCCTTTGGGACTGTGTGACTAAGGTAAGAAAAAGCTTTCCTGAAACAAAGAAGCAGTTTCCACTTCCTTCGTGAAAGCAAGCAGGTATCACCACTGATATGCCAAAAAAAAAAAAACACAACCAACCAGAGGATCCAGATTTTGTGACTGTCCTAGCTTTTACAGGACTTTATAAAATCAGAAAGAGTCACTAGGGACTTAATTTTCCTGAATCTTAACACTGCTGTTCACTTTTATCTGTTTACAAACCAATTTTTACTGGTTTTTTTCAATTAAATTCACTTTAGATGCATCATACAATGTAGCACACAGTCAGAGCTGCCTCTGGTGCCGGCAATAACCGGGCACATCAAAACATGAGCAGACAGGCTAAAATTTTCATCATATACCACATGCATCTCAAAAAATTAAACTGCTTTATTACGCCTGGGTCTATTAAAAACAAGTGCAGCAACTCTGAGAACAGCGGACCTCTGAAATAAGGTATGAGAATAAAGCAAATTAACTTTATTCTGAGAAGCTTTTCTTTATTTTTTTCCTGCATTTCCGAAATTGGCTCTTTCCCGTGGAGCACGGAGGGGCTCCGGGCGCTGCCCTCGGCTGCCCTCGCGCGGCCGCGCCCGGGAAACGCAGCCAGGGACGGGAACCTCGCGGGCACTGAACCTGTTAGAGCGGCTCTGACAGAACTGGGAAGCTAAAAGCTTTCTGAAAGCAACGAAATGTACCTGTAGAAGGCCAAATATTCAGCACTGCCAGGCTAAAAACTGACTGGCAATTATTTCACAGATAAATCCAGGAAAAAAATGGGGAAGGGGAAGGGAAGAACTATTTTAAATCCGAACAAGTGAGATACTTTCTTGGTGTTACTTGAGGAACAGAACACACGACAGCCAGACGCACGACCTAACTGATTCATTATTACTGAAGCAAAGGCCTACTGGTACAAAATATATGGATTTGCATTTAAAACAGTATTTAGGACTTCTTTCTCCCATAAACAAGAACATGTTCACGCTGCAACAATACTGTAAAAAAATACATAACCGTCTTCCAAATTCCACCAAGCTGTCCAAGATTCCCAGGAAGCATTGTTGTACTGTCCTCTGCTGGCTTGCTGCAGCTTGTTATTTCCAGTGTAATTTTGTACCAGCTACACAAGGTCAAAAATGGCTGCATACATTACAAGTGGTTCAAGACAGAAGGAATCCCTCATGCAGATTTTTAAAAGAGAATAGAGACTGCAGATTTATCAAGTCGGATAAAAGGGCAACTGCAAGCAGAAACTACAGACTTCGGATGTTTTGGACCTAAAACTTTATATGGAAAGAAAAAATACCTCTCATCTCTATAAACAGGAATCTGTATTATCTCCATTTTCTTCATTATCTTACTTATGCACAAAAGTAAATATGCCAATTAAAAAAAAATGGAAGAGGAAAAAAAAAAAGAAAAAAACCCAACCGAAAAACCCACAAAACTCAAACCATCCAATGCTGACAACTGGTAATGACAACAGAGTCACTGAACTAAGCTCAGCACAACAGGAAATTTGCCTTTTATAATGTGTGTGCACGATTTTTTATTTTTATTTTTTTAATGTTCTTTGCTATCAACCTCTGCAAGGGTCTTTTCCATACCAGATTTGTTTTCTCCTCAGACTCAAAGGTTTTTAATTTTTACATAGCTACATATAAATATTAAGAACAAAAATCCTATAAACTTGCAAAGAACACTGACTATCTTAGAATTTATGAAGCTGAATTACAGCATAAAATATTTCTCCGACTGTACCAATCTGCCAAAATAAGCTAATAAAGACAACTTGAAGATTAAATTCTTTCCACTTAAAATCTGAAGTAAGAGAGTATGGTAACCTTAAGACTGAGTTTACATTATTTCCCTTACATAAGTTAACCTACCGATTCATCCATGATTGAAGCGGGGTCAAAGAAATCTGGTTTTAGTTCCGTTCTTTCTCTCCTGTTCTTTGATGGTGGCTTTAGAAAGCAAACAAATAAACAGGTTAACTGTAATTTCACAAGAAAACCAGAGGTTTTACAGTGTAGTAAGAATTACTGACAGCAGCACAGAGCTCTTTAGCACAGCTCTCTGTAACAATGCAGAGAGCAACAAGAAGGATATTTCTGTTTCCCCAGAAGGAAAATCTGATTCAAATATCTTACTTTAAAAGCAGAAATACAAATCCCAAGTCCACTAAAAACGTAACTAAATCTCTTACTAGGTCTATGTCCATGGTGTCGAAATCCATGCCTTCATTAAGATCTTCAATCCGCCCTTCTGATGACATCATCACATCTTCAACAATTGGCTCCTCATCATCTTCCATTAGACTTGTGCCACGTCGACTGAAACGAAACGAAAAACATTCTGTGTAGCACTAAATCAAGTTAAGTTTTATCTGAATATTTAAAAGGTTAATGCTCAATAAGGAACTGCCAACAAATGATCATTTCTGTTTTATCTAATGGAATTAAGTAATTAAAATAATGCACAACTACTATTAAAGAAAGCTGGCATTTAACCAGCTAGAAGATACTAAGAAGAGTGTGGGAGAATGGCTAACAAAGATAACTGAAATGTGGTACATTGCTAAATGGGGATTCTGAGAGAATTGTTTCTGTGAGAATTGATAAGCAGATCTAAACCACACCTAATTTTGCACTTAATGCTCAAATGAAAAAGAACCTAAGTTTTGCCACTTAAAGTAAAATTTTTTCTGCCTTATGATAAGGCAAGGAAAAATGTCTTTGCAACAAAGTAGATGTGTAAAACCATTACAATATTCCCACACAGTCCTTCATCCTCTTTCCTCACAACTTCTACACACAACATCAAACCTTATGAGAAAAGTAAGGAGTCATTCTATTTTCACTAACTGGTGTCACTGTATTAAAAAAGCCACCATTGAAACTATGTTACATGAAGTACTGATAACAGAACAATTAAAAGTTATTAGGGGGAAGATGTAAAGCTCCTCAATATATATGCCCATGGTTTTAGTTTTTTTTCCTGTAGATCCACACAGTCCTTAGGAAAGCAGAAAACTTCTAAATCTAGTCTTCCCCCCTCAGCTAAACGAGTTCTGGAACATACTTTTATTAACATGCTTGTCAAAATGCACATGTGATGACTCATAATGAAGTAAGTGACACTCCAGTAAAAGTGTATGACCTCTGAAGGACAACACTTGTTTAAAAACATTAGATTGTGTTCATCTTCATCCACAATATGGAGGACTTTGGAAGTGTTTTGTGTGTTTGGGTTGGCAAGTTCTACAAAAACTGATACTACAGGTCTCCTCTCAACTTTGGTTCAGTTTAGGAGAGACAAAGTCTGTACCAATCACAGAAATGCTGAAGACAGCAGCTTCTTTTAAAGGCATACTTGTACATTAAAATGCAACAGAAATAGTAGATTTAAGCTGATCAGAAATTTTCTGCTCCACACACTGAACACCTATTTAAAAACTTGTTTGCAGTGTTCTATTTCTAAATACGATTCTGGAGTTAGGAATACATAAAGATGATGTTTCACATGTATTAACTGCATCTATCTGCTACAGATAACACTGCTCAACAACCAGTTCCCTTTATTACATGGCTCACTACTATTCAATTTTTCTGGAATCTCAGTTCCAAAATAAGCAAGAAATGCCACGTTCATTTACCACCGCTTTTCTAAGGCAACTTTACATTTCAGGACACAGAAAAAAACAAGGTAAGAACTAGAACATGGATCCCTCTTAAAAGACACAGGTGTAACACTGCATTTAATAAACCCTCCCCAAACCACTGAAGGAACATTTCACTCTCACTCACATGGCGTGTTGCAAGTTGCTTCTCAGCTTGACGTAGTTCATCGCTGCCCTCTCCTGTTGTTGTCGCGCGGCTTCTTCCTGTTGCCTTTGAGCCAACATCCACGTTACTTGCGTGCTTAAAAAGACCATTATTCTATTTTAAACATGTACTGGTTTTGTGTATGAACACTAACACAAAGCAGACCTACTCATCTACGTACTTGTAATCGAGGGGAGCTTGGTGGTGCTCGGGCTGCATAGGATAGACACCCATGTAATTCTCGTCAGGTCGCAATCTCTTGGGCTCCCTCATTATTGTGGAAGTCAGCTGAGGTGTCTGCATCATGACTGGTGTGTGCATCGACTGCTCCCTGTTCAGCCACATACTGTCACTACTGCTGCTTTCTTCAGCTGAAAGGAAATGTAGTAAGAACATCAGTAAAGTTTTTTTCAAGCTACTCTAAAACTGAATGTTTAAACACAAGTTACATGCGTGTCCTTTCTGCTTACTGAGAATAGACTGCTTTACTTTTTACCACCAAGTTTTACATGTGCCTCAGAAGGCCTGGATTTATAATCACTGGCTGCAGTATTTAATACACTTTTCTATTCTGCGACTTAACACAGTGTAGTGCCTTTATTTCCTCTCGTGAATCAAGTGTTATTTTATTCAGAATCTTCAAATGAACAGCTTTCCCACTAAGACACAGACATGTACAGAACTTATCCTGTTTTAAAAAAATACATTGGAGTATTTCAATACACTCCTGCTAACAAACAGAGAACAACATGTATACTTTATATGAATATCTACTCAAGTAAATTTTAAGATGAGAAAAGTTCTACCTTCAGGTACTTTCCGCTTGCCTGTTGCTGGCTTTGTCTTCTTATTTCTTACTGTAGATCCTCGACTACTAATACCACTAATCACTGACATAGTATCATCATCCCCACCAGCTAGTAAAGAGTTTCTGTAGGACATGAGAGGAAGCCACACATCTTCTCTTCGTAGAGACATCTGAAAGGTCATGAACTTCTCCAAGTAAACATACCTTTAAATGGAAAACATAATTACCAAGATGCAAAATATCTGTAACAAGATGTTAACACATCAAGATAATTAACTACTAAAATTAACACCCAATGCTCCTCATCTAGTTAACAAAAAGGCCTGACAACAGCAAATCCACAATGTGATTTCTGTTCATCCACTATAAAATGAAAACAACAAGGACAAAAACAATTTTCCCTCTGTTATTATATTTGATTCCACCTGAGGTGAATACAATACACATAAATATTTATTCTGATGCATGCCTTTTGTGGTTATGATCATAAATATCAAGAATACTTTAAAAATACTTACACTGTTCTTTTGTCTTGTCTGAGAAGCTTGGAGGAGAACTCACTCAGGATATCAAGAAATGCCAAATTTAATGGCGGGTGGCTCTCACCTTGTGGATTAGGCTCCTTAAAAGCAAATTCTATGCCATCCCTAAGAAAAAGTTAAAAATGAAGTCACAAAAAGCACAAACAATAGAAAAAGTTCTAAGCACAGTGAGCTATAAGAACTGAACCTCTCTCCTTTATGTTAAGAAAGCAATAATTTGTTTCCATATTCTGTCAAAAAAAGTGAACAGTGAATCCGGACACACTTTCTGTCATGCCACTTTACTCTGCATTGCAAGTTTTCTGCATGAGACCAACATAACCACCACTGACAGTGAAGTGGATCAGTTCTTACTGTTGTGGGTAAGACATTAAAAATACTTTTTCATTATAGCATCACCACTGCTATCATTTACAGGCTTAAAAATGATGCTGGAGAACACCAACAACATTTAACATTTGGGTTTTACTCAGAAACAAAACTACAGTCATCTCAATTCATAAACTGGCTGTATCATCTCTAGAGCTGATGCGTTTTGTACTACCAAACTCACTTTGAAAGACTGAAAAGATAATTTTCTGTTAGTGTTTACAAAAATGGAAGTAATACAAAGCCCACAATTACTTGTGTAACATAGCAATAGCTTCTCTTGTTTTCAACTGATCCAATCCAAACGTTAAAGCAAAACGTCGAGCAAGTTCCTTTATGCCACTGAATGTTGGTGAAGATCTGTCGAAATTATAACCATTTTCTTGAATCATTTCATTGAAAAGCTGTATGAAATGAGAAGGGAAATTCATGTATTTAAAGATTATGTCAAACTTTGGACCAATACACACAGAGTTAAGCTGTAGTAAAAAACTATATTTTACAGCTTCCCCCCCTTAATTTCACAACACCAAGAGACAAACATGGAAGTTTAGGACAACTAAGTCAAGGCTATGCTTGAGAAGTTTGCACTTCAGAGTTAAACCCTGAAATGCACACTGTCCAAGCACACAGGAAGTTCTCCACACAAGGAAGATCATTTACTGAAGAGAGCATTAAATCATGTTTTAATATCGAGTATGTGTGAAGCCCCTACCAAACATTGATACTGAATTACTAACACTTCCCATTAATTCTCAGGTTAAAAAAAAACAAATCCAAAACCAGAAAAACACATCAAAGCAAAGCAAAATAAAACAAACCCCCACAAAAAAAAAAACCACAATCCCCCACCATGCAGGCAGGAAGTGTTTTCCCTTGGTTATCTGTTCACAAGTAAGTAAACTCTTAGTTAAACTATTGTTTTAGACTTATGAAGGTGTCACAGTTATTGATTTTGTATTTATTGGTCTCTCACATAGACTTTTCATAGCACAATATTTGCTAAGCATAAGAAGACTTCTGCAGTCTTTCAAAGAGTTGTAGAAAATGTGTTTCAGTTTAGACCTATTTATTGCCACCTTCTATAAGAATTCCTTCATCAGTACCTCACACCAGTTATTAAACAGGACATGATCTACAGTGTGGAATTCATTCATAAAAATATTGTAAATTCTTACCTGTTGCAAACTAAGAATAAGTGTCTTAGCACACTGGATTTTGTCTATCTGTCTTGTTTTGCTCATCGTTTCTTTAATAATATCACCATAGTCATTGTAATACTACAAAAAACAAGAAAAGAAAAACATTAGCTTTCAATATTAGCTGAAAACATTACAACTACTGAATTCTTCTGAAAATAAAATCTAGGATCTGCTATTAAAAACATGAACATTTCTTTTCATTCTTGTTGTTCGTATTACTTTAGAGGCAGAATGACCTATTTATCTTCAAGGCCATGACACATTTGTTAATGACACGTGTTCACCCCTTTAGGGTACAAGATTAAATTCTAATCTTTTTAGTAACTCCTGGAACTCTGGTGGGGAGTTTTCTATTTTCTCTGCTGAAAAGAGGCACCTACAGACAGCATCACAGCTGAAATTTTTCCAATGAAGACAGTTGCCTGTTCAGTTCTTTAAGTATTTCAGGTTTAATAAAGACCCAATTAGTTATTTAGAGATTCAAAATATATGTAGGGCACTCAGACAGATAAGAGCAGCCTGCCCAAGTTTTAAATTTTTTAAGGTAATCACCAAGGAGCAAAGCTTTATCATGTTCACAGAATGAGAACTCATACTATTGCGCAGCTGTGAATCCCAGGAGCCAAAAGGGGTTTTTATATTTAAGAAAGATTGAAACAGATATAAAGGTAACATGGGGAGAGTGGGACTCAAAACTTGTTTCTCTTCTACAAAGTTTAAACTGAAATTATTTGATGAGGCTAGACATTAGAGAGGATCTTTGGGAGAAGATTCTCAAAAGGCCTGCTAAACTAATAACTGATTTAAAAATATACCATCAATCAGGATAAGAAAATAAATCTATTAAAAACAACATAAAAAAATAATGAGCAAGTTTCTTTCCTCCCTCCCTACCACCCCCACACTGGAACTGTGAAACTTATCTCAGTCATTTTTACCCCTGCATACAGAAAAAGAACTTTTAAAGGCCTACAACTCTGGAGTTTTGAATTCTTCACATTTTGAATCAGTTATCTTGTAAGGTAAAAATTAAATAATAGTTTTAAAATCCACAGCTACCATATTCTAGTAGTTTTACTAACGATCACTAAGCTTCAGATTTACCTTCATATATTGCTTGAAAATGTCTGCAGCTGTGTTCATTTCCACCACAGTATATACAATGAGCTTACAGAAAGCTGCAAGTAGATTTCTTCTTTTGTGCAATGCTTCAATTTTGCTTGCTTCATCATCCTGCTGTCCATCTGGAAGAGTTCAGAACATGACAACTGTCAGGTTTAAAGGCTTCATATTTAAGCATTTATAGATAAAAGTGATAGGGCTAGTGGTCAGGATTCAGAAAAATCAGATTTCAATTCTGGTGGCAGTGCACTTCATTGTCCACTGTCAAGTCTCTTCCCCGATATCACTGTGCCTATTAAACCAAACCTTTACTGTGATTATCCTACATGTTCCCAAACCAGCAAATGCTTTGATCAGCTGCCGACATTTAAAAGCCAAACCTACCCCTGTGCCCATGCACAACCCTCAGCGACAAAAAAACCACCACACCAAAACACCACAAAATCCCACCCAAAACCCAGAAACGCACAGGCAAATACATATTAATTACAAGGTAAATAATGTAAAGGGAACATAAGTTTTGTACAAACCTGCACTATTATTATCGTCATCCTGATCAATGAAGACATGATCTAAAATAAAACTGAGTAGTTCAGACTGCAATGAAGAATCAGGAGTGTAAACAAGTGGCTCCAACATGTCACGTCCTCCTGTCATAATCTGATGACTGAAGATCATCAACACATCACACAGAATTGTGAAAGCCTGTTAAAAAGAAACGTTAGTAAATACTTGCTTAGAAAGTCGATTTTATTTTGAATAATGTATTTGCAGTTGACAAAATACTTAAGAGCCCATCAGTGTACATAGGCCAGTGAAGTTCTGAAGAACCACAGAGGCCTCCTGGAAGTCAAAATGTGCACAGCTTCTTGCAGCAGGTTCCTATGTCAAGTCTGGGTCTCCAAATAAAAATACTGCACAGACGAAGCCAACTAAATATATGAAAACATTGTGAGATTAAAACATGAGGAGCCTGAAACTCCAGAATTCTGCCTGATGGATACTACACTAGGTCACTAGGGACACCAACCATAACAATCTCCTTTTTGCTTTCTTTTTTTAAAATTGTTTTGATCACATTTGTAGAACATCTAATAGCTGAGGTCATTCAACCCCTTTAAATCATAATGTCTTACTTCCAGAAGTCCAACCACCTTTGTTTTGCTGGCTAACTTGTGTATCTGATGTCAGACTTAAATATCTGTACTCCACCTTCCTGGAAAGTTCAAATGTCTCAGTACCTGACACAGACTGACACTCTTCAAACTGAACAGACCAAGGCAACTCTAATCTCTCAAGTACTTCCATGAACAGATCTGTTCTCTAACTCCTCAAAGTGAATATTACTAATTTCCTGGTCACAATTTCCTGCTCCTCTGAAGTCCCTTCTGCCCCTTCATGACATTAGAGAAGAAAAGTGGAACCAAGGCTACTGTACCCTATGTGACAGGTACCCTGTGTAACTGGGTAGTTCTAGTTTCTAGAGCATTCACCAGACTGAGAGTTATACAGCTTTTTAAAGAGACCTACTCATAGCCTCAGTAATTTTGTTACTTGCACTTTCACACCCTACACCTTGTGACTATTATACCAGGCAGCTCTTTCACACAGAACACATCTATTAAGTTTCAGGGATATTCTTGTTCTAGCAAGAGTTTCAAAAGCTGCAATTGTGCGACTCAGTGGACCAGATTTTCAACTTCAACCAGGTTATTATTATCTTTAGAAGCAAAGAGGCTCCTGGTTTTCCATTTGTTTAATTAAACCGTCTACCTAGAAGATAATTTGGTCCTTCCCCTATAGAGAGATACTGCCCTTCTTTTTTTTCATCTTAGCATTCTCAAGATTGTTAAAGGCATTTACTTAGAATTAACCCTGCTATCAGTAACCTGTTCTCTTCACTGGGACTTCAAACTCCTGTGAGTGAAATGACCAAAGAACTATTTGACCACAGACTGGAAGAGACTCAGTCCCTTAAAGTATTTAACCTTTTCTTTTGACCCTGTTATCCTCAGAACAAGTGTTTCCCAATATGATGTATCAATTCTTTTTGAAACAGGACAAAAAAAATACAGAACAACCCCCAAAAACTTCATACCAGCATTTCTGAGAGAGAGAGAGAGAGAGAGAGAGAGAGAGTGTATTAATGGTTCTCCAGTGGATAAGCACACAAATATAATTGTAGAAATGTGGGAAAGTAAAAGCATTCAAAGACAGAACTAAAAAAATAACTTCTCTCAAATTGCTGTCCTTAGCTCTTCCAGTTTTGAGCCTATGAACCCAACGTCAGCTCCACAGGAGATGTGTGGGCATGAGCACACGGTAAGCAAGAGATTTGAAATGGAACTCTCTCACTTGAACTTAGAAACCAGGTTTCTACAGTGCACCTGCAAAGTCATTATTTAAAGAAACAAAAAGCCCTTTGGAATAAAAGGTTTTGCTGCCTAAAATTACTAGAAAGAATCCAGTTTCAATTGATTCTCAAATCCTACCTCCATTACCTGAGGAGGGCAAGCATACAAGTACCGTGTGTATTCACACTCCAAGGGCGTTCAGCCTGAACATGCAGGACACACCACATTCCCACATAAGTACCAAAAATTGCTTTAGAAGTATAATATTAGAAGACTACCAGTATAAACAACAGTCACTAACCTGTTCCTTAACAGCAGTGTTTACATTGGTCAGGTAGTGTTGACAGATTTGACAGAACACTCTCATCTGCTTCTTCAGACGTAGAAGATCCTCCTTCAAAGAGAATGATTTCATGTAACAGTTTAACTTTTTGATTTTATAGTCACATTCAGTGCATGAATTTTCACAGAGTATTCCACCACAGACCTCCTGTGTAGTGGTAACATTTAAGTCCAGTGCATTATTCAAAAATTACTATTACAAAAAAAAAAAAATACCAAGCAGCAATTTCCTCACTTTGGTCATCCTGTGTGGTGCAAAACAAAATGGCAGTTGGGATGAAAACCACAAAGTTATTTATTAAAAAAGTAGTAACAAACCCCCTCAAAATCAAACCTAAAAAAACCAAACACCTGCCCCCACCCAAAAAACATTCCAGAGCATAAAGTATTTTCTCTTTAAAATATCTGTATTTTCAACCTAGAGGACAGATTTCAGGCAGCTGCTTATAACTAAAAAAGACCAGGCTACATGGTATTATTTTATTTTTTTAACTCACTGCTTGGGGATAAAGTAGAATATCAGATGAGAGTTGGCGTTTTCTTCCCTCATTCATTGGAAAACAAAACTTCCCAAAAAGCACATTTCTGAGCAAATAAAGTATCAGATTGGTAGAAGTCCCACCCACATGTGTGACACACTTGGTGTTACTCAATCACGTGAAGATTGTAGGCCCTGTAGAACTGGGGAAGTGATAATACAAAACACCAGCTGTGTAACCAGCATCAGCCCAAACAAAGATGAACTACCCCTGAAAGAAGTTTAAGAACTCTCCCTGCAATCTAAACTGAAACAAGGCTCTTCCTTCAAGAAAGCAGGTACAACATATGATTTAATCTCAACGGGAATCACAAAAGCAACAGCTGCTTCTTGACAGGAATCTAAGTATAAAATTATTTTAGAACACCTTTCCCACATAAAAACTTTTGTCTCAGATTACTACGCTGTTGTTAAGAGAACTACACATGGGACTATTTTCTTTCTTTCATACAGAATTATTTATTTACATTTTTATTAAAATTGAACTATCTATGTAGTCTTTAATTTAGCAGCCTGTATTATGAAGCTAATTCCCATACTTAGTCAACCTGTTCACAAGAGCACACAGTTAACACCTAATATTGTCAGAGAACAAAACACTCCAAACCAACCAGCAAAAAAACAAATAAACCAATCAACCAAGCAAATCTTTAGGCACAGTACATTTCTGTCACTTCTGGTTCTCTGTCTATTTTTTGCTGTTATATTCCACTGTCAGAAGTCAATGAAACTTCTGTAGGTACCTGATATATTTGGCAGCAGTCAAGCAGTTAAATAAAACAAAATAGTTGTAGTTCAGAAGTTAAACCTAAAAGCTTTAATTCACAAAAATTTATTATGTAGAAGCAGAAAAAAGTCTTAATAAAGGACAAGTTCTCAAATAAATTATTTTCATTCCAGGTGAAAGTACTGAAAATTACATTTTACTGCAAAACAGCTAAGTTAACCTTTATTTCTAAACTGTACTGTCAGTATTTCACTCAGCTTCTGCCATCAGGCTTGTGATAAAGCTTTAGTCACTATTACAAAAACCTCAAGACTGTTTACCCTGTAAAGAATAAGCTAACAAAGCCTCCAAATCTTTCACACAGGTAAATGCTTCTCAACAATCTGTCTCCACTTCCTATCTGATATTTGGGGTTGGAAATGTGTAAAGCCATTAAAACACAGACGGGCAAACTAGCCAGCCAGTGTTCAAGCTCACAAGTAGTTAACACACCTTCAGACTGTAATAACTCACTGGACTAATGAAGTCTCAACATGATAGGGGAAAACCACCATAATCTGGCACAGGTGTTCTCTGTTATAAAATCATTAGTTACAGAGCATGATTTTCCACTCCTGCATCTACCAGGAGCTCCAACTACCACACCCTAAAATGAAAATAATTTTAAAAGAAAAAATGTATACATCCTCACATTAAAATGAATTATTAATTAATCTTATAATATTAATGCCATGAGTTCTCTTTGTTATCTCCCTGGTAAACTGTGGCAGTCATGTACATTACTTACAAGTATGGCAATCAAAGTGTTTAAAAAACTTGAATTCACTTAACCCATCTTTCTTTATGTCAGAGAGGAGATAACAGTAACTCTAATAACAAAGTGCAACTCCAGCATAAATTTCCAGTAAAAGAGCACTCTTCTTTCAGGACTGTGGAGAGCTTCCAGTATGTTTGATTATAGTGGGGGGTTTTTTCAAATTTAAAAAAATCATCAAAATGTTTCAGCACTTACAAACTCCACCCTAAACCATCTAGCCTTTCAAAAAACTTTTTTTTCATGAGGCAGTTCACACAGCCAACCATCTGATCACCCCCTTCAAGCAATGCTGCCCAGTGGATACAGGAAACCTTAATCCTTCCTCCAAGATTTTTCAAGAAGTGAATTTAGAAAGATGACATTTGCAAGAGCTTTGCCCTTCAAGATTACTATACATAGAACCAGAACAGGCCCTCTCATCACTCCCTCAGAAAATCTCAAATTTAACTTCATCTTCTTGTGCCTTTATTTAACAACATATTTAAAAGACTGATGAAGAGCAAAGTGGAATTGCAACATAGTGACCAATAAGAATACTATGACAGTGTGCAAATTCTTAGATCTCACTGACTTGTCACAGGTAGTTCAGTTTGTAAACAAATTCAAACTCACTACTTGAGAGTAGTAAAACTGACCACACTGTTTTATAATTTGCAGTCTACCCCTCCTTAGCATTGTTATTATGCCTGATATCATATTTATTTACAATTACTTTAAAATTCTGTCAAATTAAACATAATGCTGTCATTCAGATAATATAAACATAACAAGTGAGGTAAACACCAGGTTTGTAAGTCAAGCATTTAACTGCTAAAACTATGAACTTGAATGAACTTACTAGAAAAGCAGAATTAGGCAGATACCACTATAAAGAAAATTCTTAGTCTTAATTAATTCCATCACAGCTCTCAGTTGATGACACTGCAGCTATGTACAAATGTTTATTTACTAATACAACAGGAACAAGGCATACCTTTGTGGAACTGCTTTCAGTAACTTTTGCTAGCTGCCAAAGGATTACATAATGAGTACACTGCAGTGCATGAATAACAATCTGAAATCAAAAGGGGAAAACGCATTAGATGACAAAGGCCAAAAAAAAGACAGCAACAAAAGCTATTTGTTGTTGTGCCTGAAGAACACATTTTAACTACAGACCTGTTCTGGCATGTCTCCATTTTCAATGCCAGTTTTCAATAACTTGTAGTTGCAGCCAAACAAGTCCCATCTTGATAGGTCATGAGCACTGGAAGCATCAGAAATGAAGCAAAATGTAATTTAACTAATACCATTTCTGCAATTTGAGGTTAACAACTACTAAAAGCTTAACTGGCCTAAAAAAAATAAATTAGTGGAATAAAGACCCCAATCATAAATACCTCCCTCCCAACCACCACCAACACACACAAAAAAAAGCAAAGCAAAAAACGCCCATGAAGTTGCATTGAAAAGAGATATCAAATTAAAAACAAACAAAAATAATGCCCTACACCACGAACCCCAACAGGTGTGTGCAGAACTTACTTGTGAAAAGCAGTGATTCTCTTCAGTGTTGACAAGACTTGATATGCATCATCTTCATCAGGTTCCTCCCCCTATTTAATAATTACACAGTGAGATATTTCAAACCTTCTAAGCAAACTGGGGAGCTTACTAAAACCAAACACAAACTGGAGGGTGTGATGGGGTGGGGACCTGATTCTAAATTATTTATCAATGTCATATTTGCTTTCAGAAGAGTTAGAGAGATAAGGCATCAGTTCAGGTCTAGAGATGGACTCAATGATCATAAAAGGTCTTTTCCTACCTAAATGGTTCTCTGATTCTATAAAATAGCAGCAGAAGGAGAAAGAGGGGAGGGGGAAGGGAGAAGGGGGGGGAAAAAGGGAAGTCTAGGATAGCAGAATACAATGTATAATGTAGGTGCTTCTATTTTCTCTGAAGAATCCAGCAGAGGCCACTGTCAGACAAAAGACACTGGACTAGATGGGCCACAGGTCAGTACTTCAATCTTACTTTAATCACAGAAAAAGGTCTTTGACAGAGGTAAGAGAAGTAGTTTGTTCTAATCTTCCCACAAGTTCTGACAAACTTGCATTTAGTGAAAGAACAGGAGTAAAAAGGAAAGGGTCCAAAAAGTATCTATTCATACATAGGATAAACTATCTGAGGTCAAGAAACTCCTCCTCAGTCGAGCAGAGATAATGCAAGTTTTACTGTTCTGTAGTTGCACAACCTTGTCAAAGAACTATGGATTTCAACACTTACACAGAGTATTTGCCATTTTCCTTCAAGCCAACTGACATCTCATTTCCTTGCTTTACACTCATTCTTTCTTTTCCTCGCAAAGGGAAACAAAAGGATAACAATTCTTGTCTAGGGTTTCTAGACTGGAGTCCTAGTTCAGGACAAAGAGCAAGAGAAGAAAAGGAGCAGAACCTGATAAACTATGTGTACCTAAGAAGTGTGGAGAATGAAGTTGTCAAAAAGACACTTCCTATGCTCCTTACCACCAATGAGGAGGAGAAACAAGTTCTGTCTGAATGTCAGAGATCCCATATAGTGAAGTTAAATACTCCAACAGAAAATTCTCACTTTTCAGATCAGTACAGTGTGGGAACAGTTATTTTTAAGCTACTAACTGCATCTGCTTGCACTCAGGAAGGGAGGGGGAGTGTTTTCTAGAGATTTTGATATTTAACAACAGCAACATGCAATCACAGGCAAGACTAGCAACAGTAGTACATCTGAGGAGAATCCTAGTGGAATCACAATACTACAAGTATAAAAAACATAAGCCTCAAAACCTAAGAATAAAAAGTTTATGTAATTTCATTGTTCATCTGAAACTTATCTCAAATTTCCAAAAGACATTTGTCAAAAGGAGATCAAGCATAAGACTACTGCCCTAATACACAAGAATAGCCTGTGTTTACATAATCACAGCAATGATACTGTTGTGTTATTGCACTTGACTTAACAGTTTTGAAAGTCAGAGGGAAGCTCCCATCCCTAACTCATTGACTCACAGAGGAAGGCAGAAAAACATACTGGAAATATTTACAAGGGCAGGAAAAGTTGATCTTGCACATTAAAATACCTCTTGCAGGAAGTCCTCAAGAAGTCGATTAAACTTGTCTGCCAATTCATCTATTAACTGACTTCTTGCAATGTCAACCCTGTTAAAGATTGTGAATTCTTCATTACAGAGAGCGTGGTACGTTTTGGAACAGGCTTCCAAAACATCTATATCTGTGTGTTTCTCCACAATATCCCGGATTTGTCGCAGTAAGGCATCCAAATGCTACAAGGAAGATGAGCCATAGGAAAAAAATATGTAGTCATATATATACACACACAAAAGACTTTTAATAAACCTTAAGTAATTTTAAAAGGTAAATTCAATTTATTACTTTTGTAACTATGATACAGAACACAAAACACAGAAAGCCAGTGAAGCTTCTGAGAAATTAAAAGTCTACTTATCAAAAAATAAGTAGGAGTTTGTCAAAGACCCAAGATTCACAGCATTTTAAAAAGTCATTAAAAATTTGCAAGTGTCTGCATGGTTTTATCTAATTTGAATTTCCACTGACAACTGAACAATACAGAAGAATTTACCTCCTACTCACACAAACATTTATACATGGTCTTAAAAGCTGTATAACTGAAGATTTAGTTTCACAGCATTCTAGTGTTGGCACTGGAGCCAACTTCAGTCGTTCTTATGGGCCTCCCCTCAACCTGAGCTGCTCTCTAGTGCTCCATCACTGCTGGCTATGCTGTCAACTACACAGTTTATCACTTTTTGACTCTAATGATTTCCAATTGCTTCACAATGCAATAGCACATCTGAGGACGAGAAAAGAGAGATGAGAAGAGCTTCACCAACTTCATCATCACAGCACTTACAATGAAAGCAGTAACTACATAATTTGGGACATGGTAGTCTTCCCCTTTTCCACGCAATGAAGATGGTGGTTTACTAGTTTCAGTGATCGGAAAAAGAAATAAGCTATTTCTACAAACTTTTATCTGCCAGGTAGCATACCTCAAACATGATCACAACCCAACAATACATGTTCTCAAATAAAGTTCATCTAAGTGGCAAGATTTTCTGTTAAAACCTGCCAGACAGGCCTTAGAAAACTCAAAATTTCAGTATCTCTGACAACAGCAGCCAGTCACAGCTCTGAAGTCCAAGTCTCATTCTCAATAAAGGTTACAATAAATAAAGTCTCGTTTACACAAAAAACCACATCTAGAATGGTGACAGAAATTCCAGTGACTAAGTCTAAATTCTGGGATTTTTCCTTTTGTCTTAAGTGTTACTGAATGTTACCTTACCTTTTCTAATCGTCCTGTTGTATAAATTTCCAAATCAAAGTACTGTGGCAACTGCAGTAAGTTGGTGACTTTTTCTGCATCTACAGAATACTGTAAAATTGGCAGGGAAATGAATTTAGTTGAAAAAGTCTTGGACAAAATAATTCATTACAGAACGAGCAAAAGGCTAGTAAGAAAAAAAAAATACTTGTGGCAAGCCATACCATTAATTACAGAAACTATACTTGTAAACATTTCAGCAACAGTCCATCAGCAAGAAATGGAATTAAACCCACCTTTGCTAGCAACTGAGGGAGTGCCACTGCAAAAAGTTCAGTAATTTTTGTCCTGTCATCCAGTTGGGTTTTCTTTTCCTTTGCTGTCAGCACCTAAAACATTGGTATTGTCAGGATTTTACAGCTAAAAGTTCTGGAGCAAAGTTTCACTATCATCAATGAAATGATGATTAGGTACACAGACCTCCAATATCACTGTAAAATACCAATGAAAAGCAAGAGAGGGGGGCATGCAATTTCAAAAAAAAAAACCCAAAAAAATTCAGCATTCAAAAATGCAATTCAAAATTAGACCTCATGCTATGATTAAGATTATAGTGAAAACAGAAGTGATAATCTAGAATGATTTTTTAAAGGTATTTTCCTGCAACAAAATACCATGACTGGAATGATAATGAAAGAACAGCAAACTCCTCTTTTTAACGGTATTTACCCAATTCATATGCCAATCTAATCTTCATACAAGGTTTCAATCTGTACCTAAATGAGTTCCTTACCAAAAAAAGCACCAGTCTTGAGAGCAGTTCTCTTCCCTGTTTAATGCCTCAGTAAAAGAGGGCTGCCTAAACTAAAAAAGCCAGTTGGTGGACTGTCCTCCTTCCAAGACACTATGGAGTGTATTTTTCTTTCCCTCATTTTGCTCTTGCTCACTGAAAATAGTTTTAACTTTTTCCAAACATTGATTTTTGTCTTCCTTTCCAAGCAATACTGCTTTGAAAATCAATTTTATATTACCTTTAATAGTACAAACAAATGCAGCAGTTCAAACAGCATTAAGCAAATGCCAAAGTCCAGAAAAAGTGAACTAGCCAGGGCAGTTGGATACTGGAGGCTGTGGAGACCAAAGCTGAACTTCCAAACTCACTCCCTTCAGCAGCAACAGCCTACAACCTTTTCCTTCTTCCCACAATGTCCCCACAGAGCCATTCCCACATCTCTAGATGAGTAGCTTTTTGCTTCCTACCCTTTTTCCTGTTCCTCTTCCCACAGGAGGATGACATTCAGCCGCTTGCCGAATTGTACAAAGCATTATTTCGATCAGTGCACTTTCCTGTCTATCCGTTAAAGCTGAAATTTAAGAAACAGATGTTAACACACAGCTTGATTTTTCATCTTCCACAAGGATCAAAATATGTTTGGGTTTTTTAAAGGAAGACAGACAAGACATTTAGGCCAACAGCTCATTTCCAGAGGTGGGGATGGCAGAGGGGATAGAGAAAGTAAGCACCTTATAAAACAACAGCAGGAAATATTTAAAATTGAGAGAATATCCCTGGATGAGTCACAGGACAGGATGAAACAGATACCAAGTTTTATAATCATTTTAGTTTCTTTTCTTTTTTTCAGAGGTCCATTTACTGGGACCTATGAATTACAAAATTATGCCAGGGGTTTTGTTTGGGTTTACTGTCATTAAAGAAATTACAGTATTTCTCTATGGTAGTTGTAACACTCAATAAATGAACCAGTTTCACAAGCAACTTAGTTTCTCTGATGTCGAAAGTGCAGCCTGAACTTGTGGAACAACAAGGCAGTGGGACTGCACGCTTATTCCTTCTCTTTTCTTCCCACCATTATTCTTTTGTCTCACTCCCATACCAGAAGTGATCTCTTTCTACTCTTCCCTACATTTTACAATTGGCATTACTGATTGATTTCTCATAGTCATGGAAACACAGAGAATATATGGAGACTCATAAATGTGAACATCTTATTTCCTTATACATCAAGAGTAACAGAAACTGCACAGGAACATAAACAAAGATCTAGAAAAATCTCTTACGTTCTTCTCCATTGAGAGGCTCCTCCAGCAGAAGACTGTTCATACATTCCCAGTCCTTCAAGAGGTCTGTTGCACAGTCCCACATGCTGTCCACAAGATAAGCAGCATGTTCGTGCAACTAAAATGAGAACAGATTAAGTATTTGATCAGCAATAAAGTTCATAATACAGGGTATTTCTTGCACTTGGCTCCTGCCTGTGGTAAAAACACAAAGCAAGTTTTGTGAGCTCTCTGGTTAAACAGAAGACTTTCTTCCCCAATTAACTTTAAAAGATGAATCCAGACCAACTGCTACAAAGAGCAGGGCTACAATATCTGTCAGAACTTGTGAGATAGGTGGGTAAGGATTGTGGTTGTGGGGTTTTTTTGTTCTGTTTCACCACCACCCCCCTTTTAAATCTCCTAAATCACAATTTCTTTACATCTATACATCAGCATGTAGAATGACAGAATATTTGTCAGAGTAGAACTCACAACCTGTCTCAACACTGTACTGACAGATCCTTCAAATAAAAACAACCACGCAAAACAGTCTTTTAACTCCCAGGTTGCTCAAATAACAGGAAAACCCGGACAGATTCATGCTTATTAATCAATGAGTGGGGAAGAGAAAAACAAGAAAATGAAATTTAAAAAAATTAAAATGAACCACAACAACAACACAAAAACCACACACACCACAAAAACAAGGATATCCCCGGAACACAACTTACTTCACTTTCCAAAAAGAAAAACACTAATGTCTTCACAAGATTAGCATTCGGACTTTGTCTTCCTCTCCTTTTAAGTATTCCATCATCTTCAGCATCTCTGCGGCTGAAAAGCCTAAAAGAAAAATTATTTCTTGACAAGTTTCTTCTCCATTGCCTTTGCCACAGTCAATTCACATCAAGACACTGTTTTTTACACACTTAATACCTCGTTGCTCAGCTCCACGTTCTATTTTGAAAGGAATTAATTTGGGACAAGTATCATTTGAACAATTTCATATATGCTGAGTGGATATTTCGCTGACTGTTTCCAGTGGAATGCATAATTATAACAAAATGCTTTACAAACATCAGTGATAATTGCAGGTGCTTGAGGTCCTATGCTCCTCTTTAGCTAACTATGTTTTCTCAATCTCCCCACATGAGACTTTAAAGTAGCAAAGAAATACTGGAAGAAGGTCTGAAAAGTATTAGATGAAAAGTCTATTTTGTTCTCCTACACACCTGAAATATGTTGGAATTTATTTTTTTTTTTTAAACAGGAAAATATTTTCTGAAATGGTCAAATGAGTCAATGGGGAGAGGGAGGAACCACAAATGGGAGAACACTCATTATGATGCAAGCCCAAGTTTAGGCACCAAACCACATGAGCATTTTTAGATGCTTCACAGGAAGAATGGGAAAGGAAAAGACAGACGAACATTGTTATTACATTCCCTGAAGGTACAAGCTTTTGAAGTGCAGCCTTCAAAACTGCTCTCTGTTTCCATTCAGAAAAACTACAACAGTTCAGAAACTACAGTAATGTTACAGTCTCTCTTCTCTCTTAAGGCCACTTCATGATTCAGTTTTTTCCTTTTCCTAATTAAAACTAATGAGAATCATAGTGTTAACACACACACAGAATTCTACAGGAAGAAGCTGTTAACTATCATTTCTCCATCTTACTTTTTGTAAAGAAATTCCCCTGCAGCAACTGCTACTGGCCGGTGAGCTGAATAAACCAGGTGGTAGACATTTTCACAGTCTTCTGCAGTCAGAACTTCTTCACTACTCCTGGGGTAGGGATGGGAAGAAAGAAAGAAGAAAAAAGAGGTTGAGTTAACAGATTATGAACTCTAATGAGGAAGATGAAAACGAAGGAGAATCGAAACGTTTTCCTTCAATTTGTCATGCTAAAACCCAAAGTCTTAGTTCCAAAGTCTTCCTGAACAAAATATACTGATCAAGTATAAGCTTTTGCTAGAAGGTTATGCTCCAAAGTTCAATTACTGCATAATGTTCAGTAGATACCATGTTCTTAATTTTAAACATTCTGTGATCACTTCAAACTATGGAGGTTGAATCCCAAATTCCATACACTATCTAACTGTGGGACATAAGTAACAGCACTGTTCTAGTCAGATTACTATTACTTTTGAAATTCCCATTTATCTGAGTGTAAGATGCATAGATATTTCTATAGACTTCAAATGATCTGAAGTGTCATGCTGCTGGCCTAACCCACAGGGATTAGAAACATTTTTTAAGTTTCAATATCTGTTGTAAGTCAGATAAGAAAATATACATGTACTTACTGTAAAACAAGAGTGAGTAATTTTATTGCTTGGACTGCAACATCATATTCTTTGTCAAGAGTCATAGACACAATTCTATCCTAAGAACACAAAAGAAAATATTTTTCAAGAGGAAAGAAGTGTAATCCAACTTTAAAAATAATAATACTGTACCTAAAAATAAGAAGTTACACTAACCTTGAACCGACTGGTGAAGAGTTCCAATTTGGAATTAAGCTCTTTATTATAGTAAAGCCCTTGCAAAGCAGTTAGGCATTTGAGTCTTACTTCCCCTTGCTAAAATAAAAAAAAAAAAAGAACTGAATTAAAAGTCAACTATAGGATACAGATCTTCACATCATACAAGACAAGTTTCTTTTACAGTCTGAATTAATTCAAATATTAAATGCTGTCCCAATACACTACCAACGATCACTGTTTGTAACAAGCTAATGAAGGAAAAAAGCCAAACAAAACCCCAATCTTACTGCAGTTAGCATCTCTAAGTCAAAATACACTTGTTTCATTCTTTCTAAATGCTCAAGATATTTCTAAGTAGAACTCTATATGTTTCATTTCTATTAAATTAAAACTGACAACATCTATATCTGTACCACCAACTACCATCTCTTGTTTGATCAGAATTAGTAAGTAGATAATGAGAGAAATACTCCTGAAATACGAGAGGTACTTTAGCAGAGGACATGTTTTAAGGTACAGACACAGAATGACTTTTCCAAAGTCTAGGACAACTGACTCCACGCAGTTTCTATCACCCCACTGCCAGAGGTTCTTGGTTTTTTTATATCAAACCCACAAAGAGCACAGCACAAGTGAGCACCCCCTCATTTGTGCCACTTCACAGTTAACAGCTTGAAGTCTCCAATGCAAGGACTGGGACAATGTGCTGACTCAACAAAATCGGGAATATTTGTAAACTATGTCTATTGACCCCTCCAAGCAGAGAATAAGCTCTAGGTGGTAGTTATGAAGTAACAGCTGGAGGCACTCACCAGCACAAAAGGGGACCTCTCTCATGCTTTTTACAGCCGGAGGAGAACGCTAGGAAGTTTCTTAACTTGGCAAAACAGGCTACAGGACTGCATTATTCCATATGACATGCACCCATTTTAAATAAGTATTCTAAAGTAAAAGTCTGGATCAGTAATAAATACAAAAGACTATTTCTTTACAAATAACAGTTCCTTAAAAAAAAATCTATATCTACTGTCTAAAAACATTCAAAAGATTCCAGTCTAGTTTATATATATGTTGAAATGCCAGTGCTTCTGAATGGTAAGAAAAGCAGTGACAGATTTAAACAGTTAGGAGATCTGAACCTAGTCTGACAAGATAACAACCAAAAGCATGGTTCCTGGCTCTGCTCCTTTTCCCCCGTGCAGTTTACCTTATCATGCATAGTCCACCCCACATATTTTAAGTAGCTGTCATTGAGAAAGGCGTCACTGTACATCTTCATCCATATTCCAATCTCTTCAATGCAGATGGCTCTGATTTCAGCAATTGCATCTCTGTGGAGAGAAGTGGGGCAGAAAGTTCAAACAGATCAATAATTAGAAATAACCTGCCACCGGCTTCCAAAATAAATTAATGAAGCTACAAATTACTTACTACGGGAAACTTACCGGTATCTATGCACAAAAACACCTTTAAATATTGCATTCATCATGTTTTCTATTTCATCCTGATTTTCTTGAAGCTGAAAGAGTGTACAGAGAACATAAACAGTGAGGAGCACTTTTACAGTCAGATCAGATGGTGCTGATGCTACACAAACTAAATTAATGTTTGAAGTATGACCAACAAATCCTTTCCTGAAATATTCACAAATCTGTTTCACAGTACAAGATACTATTATTTAAGGAATTGTATCTATCACAGCATACAAACTTTAGTTAATTGTGACCACTGCAAAACTGTTCTTCAAGTGTAACAAAGACATCTTAGGTTTCTGAAAGGTCCTTCTAAGCTTATTTATAAGAAAATTTGATTTAATTTTCTTGTAACATCCCTGCCTTTTTCATTTATCTATGTATTACTCATATGAGGACTGGTCCTGTACACACATCTAGCACAACTATACTGAATGGGTGTTTAAGGGATCAGTCTCAAACTGCGAGATCTTTGCAAGACAAATAGAAGACAAAGTTGTTAATTTTGTCTGAACTGTCAAGAAAACAAAAACCTTAACAGGTAACAGCACAAATATTGAAGAGCAAAGGTCAGATGTTTCCTTTGATTATGAGAAGATTATTTCTAATGTCTAAAAAAAAAAAAAAAAAAAAGAAAAAACCAACCACAAAACAAAACAAATAAACCAATTCAAAACAAAACTAACCCCTCAAGAAGCCCCTACATAAAACAAACCACCAATTTCCCCCCAAAAAATACTGAAACCTGAATGAATTAGGGCTTTCAACAAGACAGCACTGTCAGCAGTGAATCAGCAAGTCTCTTTTACACAAAAGAAAGAAAATAGAAGTAGGCTGCATTTTCAGTTTTGACAGTGCTTTCTGTAGATCAAAAAAGCCTTATCTAAAGCCTTTAAACACACTTTCTGCTGAGATGGATATTGACATTATAAAAGCAGTACTTTGCTCCAAGAACCCAGAGATCATCTCTAGAAGCCAAATACCAGTCAATGTATAGCAAATTTTGTTATGTATTCCAGCTTGGCTTAGGAAACTAGTCAAGAAATACAACAAAAAAATTAGCTTTTACTAATTGCTATCTCTCTTACTAACTTTCCTATGACACTACTATTTTTAAGAGTCTACATTTATCTCAGAAAATCAGACAGTAAGCACTTTTCAAAGCTTTTTAAACATTAAACGTGAACAACTTTGAAGAATTAAACAGAGACTAACAACTACCAAAACATATTACAGACCAAGATTAATTATGAGTTGTCAGCTATGAACACTCATCACGTGCACACCAGCTAAGTTGCACCAACCTCCTTTCTTTTCTGTAGTAAGAGTTCCAGCCTATCATTAGCTCGTTTCCCAATTATTTTATTTCGTTCTGCTTCATACTGTCGCTGTGTGTTGTCCATGTTAATACTAAGATTTAATGCCACATTCACTAAAGCAGTCATCAGCTTCATGGCTACAAAAAGAAAAAAAAGTGACAAGAATAAGGATTATTTAAAAGGTTCTGATCTAAGAAAATTTATAAACATAAAGCAACCCCTTTTAAAAGGGTGCAGACAAATATCCTTCTCCCAGAAATGAGGAGGAGGTCAATAGTGTCCTTGCTTTTCTTGTGAACTTCTGTAACAAGGCATGAAAGGGCTTGCAGCACTGGCAGAGCACACATGGAACGTTCTTGTGAGTGTATCACCAGCATAAAGCTGATGAGCAAGACAAGCAGTTATATTGAAATATCATCTCACACTGTGATCTACAAGGAAATCAAGATTAAAGAACAAGTCTGAGCTCATCACAGAAGCCAAAATTACCACAAATAACAGTAAATATGGATACAGGGATTTTGTTGGCTTTCTATTCCATATAAAACACAACCTTCAAGAATACAAACTGTAAACTCAGATCAAACACACAAGCAATTACCCAAAATCAACAGAATTGACTACTGATGTGAACAAATGCAAACAGAACTGCTGAAAAAAATATTTTGTATGACATAAATTAACATGCAACAGGGCAACTTCTGCAGCTTTTATTGAGGTACAACTCAAATAAACATTAAAAAAGGGGGTAAAAACCTGCTTTTTAAGACCTAAAATTTGTATTAGTCATATGTTACAAAAGTCAGAATTGATGATACAGCAGCATCTGTAAATGTGTTCCTCTCTCCATAAGACATGCCCAGGCTGGTGGGAGTCTCACAGCATGTGCAGTGTGCTAATGTAAACTCAAGAGAGTTATCAATGATACAGAACAGCTGATAGGACAGTCAGCACTGAACCAGCTGTAAACCAGACAGGTCCAGGGAAGGTAACAAGAACTATTTCCAGTGTGGCAAAAACTCAGTTCCACATACAGCTTAAATTCACCTTGTTCAAAGTAAAATTGCTACAATAACCTCACATAAGCTGAGGCTACACAATGCCATTCACAACCCTTCTTCAGGAATCAGTGCACATTTAGGACTTCCTTATCCAAGAAGCTTATCCTTTGTCCATATAAAGACATATTTCTTTAAAACACTCAATATACTTAATTCATAAGGGATTTCTTCATAATTTAACAGATTGGAAAAAAAATTCACGTGAAAAGGTCAATTACTTAAAACCATAAAAGTACTTAGTAACTGTATCACTGATGAAACATGCTTTAAAATTATTTTTAATGCAAAGACTGGAAATGCTAATTTACATGGTACCACAGCCTCCATATGCAGCACAATTTCATGTGTAGGAAAAATTGCATCCAATATAAAGAACAACTTTAGACTTAATGTAGAGCATAAACAGGCTCAACTGGCATTTGAGGTTAAAGATCCCTACAGCCTTATTTATGACCAAAGACAAACTCGTAGAATCAACGGAAAGTCTCCTTCTATTTACTTTTTCTACCACATTAAAGGTAATAAAAATTAAGTACCAGACAGCTGGTGAAGAATGCTTTAAAGTAATGCTGTGCTTTTCAGTAACAAAAAACCAATGAAAAGCTGTCCCAAACCAAGTTGCATTAGATGAAAACTGTATCACACAATGAAACTCAGCTGAATGTCGCGTATCAAGAAGTCTAACCAGAAGAACCCTTCCCTGTGCAGCACAAAACATGAGATGTAGGCAATACACAAATAAATCCAATCCACTGACCTGCCAGTGTGCTCGTGTGCCGAAATGCTCTGACTTGGGAGTCTGACAGCCCCGTGAGCAGTGAAATGACAGTGTCCATCATATACTCATCATATATGATACTATATTGACATTGTCGGACGAGTACTCCAATGAACTCACAAAAACTGGATTTGAACTTCTTCCACTGGGGGCCAGCCATAGTTAGTGGATAATCTCCACTATCCTATTAAAAAACAGAAAAGGAAACTCTTTCAAATGTCTTAAAAATTATTTCATGAAATAAAGATTAAAAAGAGATGGGTACAACTTTAAAGCCAAAACCTCCGAGGCGCTAAAAATGATACGTCAGAAGAATGTGATTCCATAAATATGCATCCACTTTGCAGCTCAGGCTTGTTGTAGCACAAAGACAACATTTTAACTACTAATTTCTCTTTCTTGTTCTGACTCCCAGAAAAGAAGAAAAAAAAATAAAAATCATACGTCTTACAAATGTGCTTCAGGTTCCACCAGAACCATCACACAAACAGCTGGGTGGCTGGCTTAGGAACAGTCAATCCAGGACCATAATAAAGTTTAGAGGGAGATGTTTACACATCAGACTGAAATTTCCTGATGTCACAAAATGACCAACTACAACACCTTGAATACAACTAATGTGTGTTCCTCTCCTGATCTGGGAGCCTTTACAAATCATGGTAAAATGACAAGGAGAAAAAAAGAAATTATTTGTGTCAGTGCTTCTGTGAAGAGTTTCTTTAAGAGGCTGAACAACAATACAGGCTGAAAAATTAAAAAAGGACCCATGAAAAGGGATTAGAAATCAGAGTTGTTCATTAGAATTCTATTACGAGAAAAAGTGAGCATGACAGTGATTAAAAAAAAACATGAGCAAACAGTCCCAGCTGTGGCTTTATAAATTTCATACAATATTGCCTTAGAGTAATCAAATCTATTTATGCATTCAGATATTTCTAAGGAACACTAAAATCCTTTTTTAAAAAAGGGTACTACATTTTCCCCTCAGTTAAAGTTAAGGATTGTTTTTAATGTGGGGGCGGGGGGATTATTCCTGTACTGGACAAATGTGGGGAGGAGGTTTTAAAGCTACCTTTATGTTCTTTGGTACACAGGGTGAAATGAATATAACTCAAATCCACCAAAAAAAAAAAAAAAAAAAACAAAAACCAACCAAAAAAAACCTCACCACCAAAAAACCCCCAACATATCTATCTCATTTACCCCAACGCTCAGTGGACAGAAAGGGACAATTTAAAGGAAAAACAGTTATAATCCCTATGAAAGGAAAAGCATTAGTCTTTAACTGGAGAATAATCAAATTCCAAACCCCACAATTTATAGATTAATGAATGCATAGAAATAAATTTAGCAGCCATTTTAAGAGAGAATTTAAGGCCTTACATACACAGCAGGAATGGGGAGTCATCCCACATAGACCCACTGTAGTAGGAGTTCCCACTACTTAAAAACTCAGTCGATATTGATTTTTTTAAACCATTAATAAAACAAGTTACACACATGCAGAGCTTTACTTCCTTGTCTAACAAATTCAGTGAAATAAGGCAATTTAATATTTTCATTCATAAACGTCCTGCCATTTCTGTAGATGAACTAACTCATCCTTGAAACAAACCTCTAACAACGTGATCCAGCAACATTAGGACAGGTAAAAATAAAACTAATATCAATATGTAATCAATACTTCATTAAATTACCTCATCAAATTCTTCGGTCATTTTTCGGATTATTTCAGAATTCTGCATATGTCGGAACATCTCTGCTGTAACAACTCCTACAATTGAGATATTTGACCGTTAGCACTTTTAATATGACAGTGGGTAGGTGGCAGATGACATGACTCCTGCTACAATGCAAAAATGATCGATTTTCAGCTAACCTACAGTTTACACATGTATTTTTTAAATAATTTTCACATTTTTTTCTTTTAGCATCCATGTATAACAAGCACTTGACACCTATATATGTGTATATATAGGGTTTTATTATTCTATTTAAGAAGTGTGTTTATGTGCATGTACACACACATCTAGAATTTACTCATTCACTCATATTCAGAAGTCAAAGATACTTGTGCCAGAGCTCTTTATCAACAAGAGATTACACCATCTGAAGTGACCTTTTAGGACTCAAGATTCTAGATGATGTAAGACAATTTTGAACAGCTGTATGGCTACTTATTATCTTCTGCACTCCAATAAACAGAGTGATTTCATGCAATTTCTATTTGCCTTGGCCTCAAATTGTTAGAGTGTAAATAGTGATATAAAAACCAAATAGATCTCCCGAAGTTTACTGCAAAATTCATGACAAGGATCACCACAGAAAGCATTAAGAGATTCTGCAGCTTTATCTTGTAACAATAATCAAAAGGTCACTGCTCCTGAAAGCACGGATAACCTCTGAGGAACGCTGCTGGCTTTCTGGAGATTTACGCATGTTAAAAGTTTATCAGGACAGAGAAACGCTTGAGCAGAACAAATTACATCCAGTCCTACTCTACCAAGCTCAGTGACGCTGCAGGATAAGTTACCTCCTCTTCAAAAAGAGGTGAAAGAGGAAAAAGAATGAAGGATGTGGAAATGAGGAAAGAAAAATCAGAAAAAAAGAGAAGAAAATAAAATATAGAAATACCACCTTACTGTAGACAGGCTACCATGAAGTTGTCCATTGCATCTTTTAAATCGAGCACGTCTACAAAAGCTATGAAGCAATCTTAAAACACTCAATGATAAGAACAGATAAATCCAATCTAGAATGCCAAGACTGAACAAGCTAAACTATCAGTGTTAAGAGTGATGGTTTCTGAAATAATAGCAGGAAGAGAGGAAGATGAAGCAAGTGTTAAGTACCAGTACTGCAATCTATCTGCTGTAAATACAAAAGGCTTAATCTACACTTTAAACTGCAGTATAATATCTCTAAACCTCCTGCTCACACCTTCAGAAATCCTAGTTTAACTCCAAGAACCTGATAATGTAAACTAGCTGCAGGGATGGAGCACTTCTACAGCATCTGCAGTATAAAAGCAAAATGCTATCATACTATAATATTACTTAAATGGATGAGTAAACATTTCAGTATCTTACCTTTGCAGCCTGAACACTGAATAAAGAAGTTAATGAGATCAAGAAGTGCTATATCTCTGTCATGTTTGTATGACTCTATCCAGTCATCCACTACAGACTGAAAGGAAACAAATAAAAAAGGCACTGTTCAGTTTTCATAAATTGAAGACAGTGTTATTTAACTGTTTTCCATAAATGATTCTTCTTCATTCCTTCAGTAACTTGAACTCTGTCTTTTTTGATTACAGAATTAAATGTCTGAATAATCCTCTACTGGCATAATATTAGTCCTCAAGATAAAGAACTCATTCTATAAACATACATACACAAGTATAAAACCGAACTTTAACATAAAGCACAGGAATACCACATCCTCCTACTGCAACTTTTTTGGAGGAAGAATGCAAAAATAGTTGGTATATTTTACAGAATCGGGTATTTTATTTACAATCACCCCACCTCACCAAGCTGGTGACACTTCTCTAAATCTACTCTTTGGGTGTTCAGTTCCAACAGCTACAGTTCCCTGTATTCTTTCAAAAACGTGCTCCTTCGATGAAAAGTCCCCCACGCACAGTTGCCAAAACAGGATGAACAGCACTGCCCTACACTGCATGGACAATAATTACTCTGTAGTCACTAACCTAAAGAGGAACAAGAGCATTTTATTAACAAACCTTAATGTGAAGCAAATTAATAGGAAACCTGTGACAATGGTTTTGAGAAAACAGAATTTACGTGCAATTATGTTGCAACCATCCCTGTGTATGGTACAGTCTACTGCCGAGGTCATAAAAACATAAAATCCCACAATTTTATTAACTGATTCTTCTTCCCAGCCCCTGTGCAGGAGCCTGCAAACCTCGAGAGCACTGCAGAGCGACCCAGCTTTCTGCGTGCGTCCCACAGAAGCTGTGAACTCTACGTTTCCAGTCCCAAAGATAGACTTTCTTCCAGGCAGCCGAGGAGTCACATGAGTGAGTCAGCAGGAAGGCTTCATGGCTGACAGGCTCACGCTTTAACCCTCTCTCCACTGGAAGGCTCACAGTCACGTAAACACTTTAGAGAGTTAATTGAATTTTAAAAAAAAAAAAGTGCTGCATTTCTTACTAGTGTGACTTCAGCCCTGCTAGTAAATGCAGCGGGGAGAGTGCCTAATGCACAGCTTAAACTTCCTCTAAGCTGACTTGGCTAATGTATATTGCTACACTGGAATTGGCTAGAATTTGGGTCAGGAAATTTTAAAGAGGAGCTCTGAAATTGTAGCTCTGCAATTGAAATTACTTTGGGTGAGAGAAGAGAAGCAACTATTTATTTTCAGATAATCTAAGCTCTGGAAGCATCTACCAACTACAGGCTTCTTGTTAAGTTCTATGACAGCTGTAGGCCTAAACCACAGTTACAGTCACAAAAAAAAAGGACTTTAAAGTCATGTAATCTAAAATAAACTTTCTTCATTCAGGATACTGAAAATTTACTTTGAATCCCAGTATGAATTTCTTCATTATATATGTGATTATTCATAGAATCATAGAATCAGCTGGGTTGGAAAGGACCTCCAAGATCATCAAGTCCAACCCTTGATCCACTACCATTCATGCCTAACATTTACAAATGAAAAATTAGTTCATTCAAATTCAAACCTTGACAGTGAAAAACCACTTTATTTTGATCCTAGTCTGCAACTAAAACCAACAAATTTAAGAAAAATATTACTTTAGGCTTCATTTGATTACATTGCATGTAGAGGACAGTATTGTTCTATTTAAACTGTATATAATTCAAGTCACAGAGATAACTCAGATCTTACCTGCATAGCACTCTTGCCCATTTTAACTACCTCAAACAGCATCATGTTTTCCACACCATTCTGTTGGTGATGTCCATTCATCCGATTTGGACCACCAGGTTTCCCTCCTCCGTTTCCACTTTTCCCCTTCTCTGCTGGTCCTTTTTTTCCTTTTTTACAGGTCTGCAATCACACACACACCAAGTATTTAACTGGGTTTTATGTAATATTAGAAAACAAAAAGCCAAACAAATCACTATCCATACCATGACAAATATACACAAGGCCTTTGATTTTTCAGCAACCAGATTTTAATTCTATATATAAAAAATAAAACATTCAGAATAACAGCAGATCTTGACTGATAGGAAGACCAGTGAGAATTCTACAGGTTCCACTTTCTCCTTCCCTCATTTAAAATCTTGTAGCAAATAAAAATGTGATTAGTGACTGTGTATTACAGATAGATTTTTCTCATGTTTAAATTGTAAAACAGATTACCCATATTTTCTTGAAAACAGCTAAGGCAATTCCCTAAACACATCACAAAGTCTCCTCTGCAATTCACTAACCTTTTGGTTTTTTAATTTGAACACATATTAGGAAGTGGGGGTAAGGAAAAGCAGACTGGTGTCTTTGTATTTGATTTCCCAAATCAAGTATGACTTACAGAAAGAAGAAAAAATTATTTTAAACACAAATTAAACCACCATTTTATAAAACTTATCACCAATTCTCAATAGCTGGGCCCTCTCCCCAGGTACAGGCACAGGGGGTGGCCAGTGAGGTGGTCACAGCCTGGTCAGGGAAGGAGCCACATGTAGTGGGTGCAAGGCCAGTGAGAGGCAGGTGGGGAGGAGAGGAGAGAAGGGCTGGTAACTGAGTTTAGACCTCCCCACTCCAGCAGTGCAGCCTCCTGCCTGTGACCTATTTAAAAAAAAACTCTTTTAACTGAGTTACTGGTTTCTGTTCACTTTCCAAATTAAAAGAGACAGTATTCATGACACCAACCAGAAGAGACTGTATTGCCCAAAGTCATGTACAGGATGAAACACATGCAGAGGGACTAATCAAATCAAAGATTATCCTCTTCTCCCCTACCTCCCTTATGCCTTCATAGCACTAAGAAAATATGGAAACAGTCAAGATGAAGCATTTCCATGCAAGCACAAATATGAACTCTCTTCACAAAACACTTGTGTTTTCAGAAAATATTTCTAGCTCAACTTCAAAGCAAGTATTACACTCTTCATTTCTTAACAGTGAAAATGTTTCAGTATCCCTAAAGATTGAACGTACTTTGCCTTTGCCTTGTTTTTGGTTTTTTCCTTCAATATCCTCAAAGTCTGTATCAGAAGAGAAGTGTGTTTCAGACTCCCTGCAAGGATAAAAAGACAAACCATTTACGCATTTCACCTAGTATATTTAAGAACATTTCTGATAAGATCACAGTATGCTCTCAGCCCAGTAAGTCAACACCAACAGTGAAACTGCTTTTGTTTTCAAGTCTGCTGTTGAGGAACAGAGCACATCCCCACGCTCACACCCTATCCAGCCTCCTCCAAACAATGTACCAGTGAAGGAAGCCATACAGTAAGATTAAAAGATGTGAAGGCAGGTAGAAAATAGCAACAGGCTGGGAACCTTGCTCTTGGCACGTGACAAGCATTACAGCATCTCAAAAAGCAAAGAGCACAATAAATTCTGTGCCACAAACATTTAAACAAAATGAGAAGGGGATAAATCCCAAAATCCCAACAGCAAAAAACCCCTCTGTCACTTCCCCAGACAATCAAAGCGTCTCAACAGATTCCTTCCTGCTGTTAGAAACTTAGGAAATAGTTTAGAGGTTTGCACTTATGTTGAAAGGTACAGAATAAAAGTTTAGGTGAGGTTTCTTCAAAAAGATTATCTGTAGTCCTGTTTAGACTTATAAGGTAAAAACACACTAAATATAGTCATTTGTTTCATTTCCTGCACATTAAAATATGCTGCATCAATATACAAATCCTTTAATGCCAATATTGATGAGGGGATGGTGTCTGCAATCAATTGAATTATCAACAGAGAATATTTGGCTTATATATTCTCTACTTCTGCATTTCCTGTAGAATTTAACTGAAATGATGCTACTAGATCTCATTTTAACACATTTCTGTGCACACTTCCTGATTCAGTTAACAACACAATCAGAAAGATAACCGGGGGGGCACAGGAGACTCATTCCTATGGATTTCTTTGTAACATTCTAGAACACTCCAGAAACTTATGGTCTCTCACTAGTTCAAGTATCTGATAAGAGGTTTGTGCCTTTTAACGTGCATCTTGCCATTTCTGGTTTTGCTGGCTGGGTACACTCAGACAGACTGGAAAAGCCTCCAACAGGGGGTTAAGGGGAAGACTGAAAGAAAGAAAAAGGTAGGGGGGGGAAAAAAAAAAAATCTCTTCTTCGACGACTCCTAGATGTTTCTAATTTTCACAGGAAAGAACTAAATACAACTTCCAAACATTTCACCACACAATGAACTCTACCAATGGAGTACAAACCCATTATAAGCAGTTGTAGAAACACTACTTCATATTAAACCATCTTCCAGTTTATTTCCAATTTTTATTTCTCATTGAAAAGAAAAAACACCCAAGCAAATAACCTCACTGACACAAAACTACATCTTGGCATCTTTTTAGATTTCATAACCAAGTTAATCCATTTCAACAGTCCAGAGAAATATATTTATGTCAATCCTTTTACCATAAAAAGGTAAATCTTGGAAATCCAAATGTCCATTTCTTAAAAAATGATTTTAAAACACTTATTTTAATTTCTGCTGAAATAATACTCAAGAAAAAAATTAAAACAATGCTTTATCAACATCTCAATAGAAAAAAATCTCGAACTCTATCTGTCATTTTGTTTCCTTGTTTCCAAAAGAAAGCAAACAATAACATTAAAAAGACACAGTAGATTTACAATAGAAACCGCAAATTCTTAAAACACTTACTGAAGGAGAGTAAAATCAGTTGGTATTTCTGGAGCTGCTATCATTTCTTTATCATCTTCTGGAACACCACTGTATTAGAAAGATATTCAAAAAGCAGTCTGAAGTGCAAGCTTACTTTTCTTCTTCCTTTGTAGTGGGCAATTTCTAGAATAAAATTCAAAAAAATACAGTGAAAATTACTCCAAATATGAAGGCATAAAAAAGTTGGAAACACAGAAAATGTAGATCACACCATCCTCTGTTTCCAACCAAGCTTCTTCCCGTTTACAGATTTTTTGACTCCTCCCATGATCCCACTACAAAGTACCCCCACAAATGGTAAAAGCATCACAGTAAAAAATACAGAAACATCTGTAAAATGAACAAACCCAACAACAACAACTACTATTTTCTGAATAGGATGAGCAAACTAGAATGGTTTTCACTAACACCTTTCAAGTAACAGCTCTACTTTCTAAATCTATACTAGATTTAAGTTTGACCTGTAACACCATGCACAGCAGAGCCCCGACTTCAGAACACTATGGTATCTCTGGTTGACCAAACCAAAACCAGTGTGTGCACATTTAAGGACACTATAGGTACCAACTTCGTATCTCCAATTTGCAAACTTCTATGTCACTTTCCATAAATATAAGCTCATAAAACAAGTTCTTATAAACAGATGTTTCACAACTCCATGCCTTTCAAAGCTGATAAACCAGCCTTAACAACAGTTTTCACAATTAAAGCAATTTGCCAAGATTTTAGAATATCAAGGAAGATAATACTATTCACATGGTATAAAGGAAAACATCAGAAACACCCATGGTGTTTTAACTAGAGATTGTGAAATACTTGCTTTAAACTTAATAATAGTATTGTCACCTATTCACAAATTTTGTTATTTCTACTATTTCCCTATTTTTTAAAGGGGAAAAAAACTCCCTGGATACTTCAAATGCAACCATCCAGGCTTAAGTTTTCTGTGTCACTTGGCTACCCCAGGCTAACTCTTACACAGTGAAATTAAGAAAGCATGATGTTCAGGTATTTTAAAGACAGAATACTAAGGAGGAAAACCTTCAGAGTCAGTCTGCTGACTCTACAGCTTGCTGGAGTGATTAGGTATTTGAGGGAATGATTTAATTTTGGCATGCTAAGCACATGTTGCTCAATGTCTGGTAGCTGTGCTTCAGAGGCTGCATTTCAATCGTGTGCACACAGAGGCCGGATGGCTTCTTCCTGCAAGTGCTGATTCCGAATGCTAGGGGCCACTGTAGCTTCCAGAATTTAGAGCTGAGAGAAACCATAAACCCTGAACTTAGCAGGTTGTCTTTCTTCACATTTCCCACAATTACATAAAAGCAGAGAACCAGAGTGGAAATAAATAGTGGCAAAAAGAGGAGAGGTTCAAGAAAGGCTGATGAATCTCAAGGTAGTCTGCAACTACCAAAGCATGTTCCATCCAAAACATCAGTGCTGCTGAAGGGCAGCAACCCTTGCCATTCCATTCCTCCCTTCCCTAAAACCACATGGGCATATGACCAGTGCATTCCATTTACACTCCCTGTAGCAAACCATCAGTCCCAGGCAGGGTGACAGCCCTGCCCAGCCATTACCTCTGCCACTGGGTATCACCCAATTCAATCCCCACTAAAATGGGGAAAATACACCTCAAGTATTTTTCCCCTTGATTCTCAAGTTAAACTGGTTCAACAGCAGATATCCAGAGCCAAGGCACAGGAAACACCAGACTGCATAGCCACAAGCAAGGGAGGGAAGGGTAAAACTCCCTTCTTTGGTGGCGAGGAGCTATATTATACCATCCAGGCTGCCTGTGAAACTATACACTCAGACAGTAACATATCAAAATGCTCTACACTTTGGGGTTTTTAAATTTATTTGTAATATATATATATTTAATATCTACTTTGATTCCAGTCAGCAACTCAAACTTGGAAAAAAGGCACACTTTAGTACCTTGGTTACCAGGGTGGCACCTGCTTGGGTGTACAGAGAGGGGGAAACAAAAAAAGAAAAATGAAAAAAAAAAAGGATACAGCCACACAACCACACCAGTCCTTTTGGAAGCAAGCTTGTGATTCAGTCCCAGTGCAAAGCAAAGATGTAAACTTCAAAAACCACACTGCCCAGTTTCAAGTTCAACCTATCAATGTGGTGTTGTTTGAATTTTTTCTAGTTTACATTCTTCAATGTTGAGAAGCAACACATCTACCAAAGTGATAATCAGGATGCTTCCATGCAAATTGGCTCCCTTTATGAAAGTCAAACCTCCTATTTTACCAAATTTTGCAAAAATCTCAATATTCTTACAACCACAGAAAGACCTTAAAGAAAAAAATGAAATAAAACTATGAAAAAAAAGAGTACATGATTAAAGTACATATTCTCTACATCAAACAAGCCAAACAAATCCCTTAACAAAACAAGCTGGCTGCCCTTCACACCAACTTGAACTTCTTGTAAGAACTGTTCTTCTAAGTAGAGACCACAAAACATGGGAGAAAACTTGGCAGTTTGGTCAGAATCACCTCATAAAACAGAAAAGAAATAGGAAGTTCTTGCTAGATGCTGAAGTGTTAAACTACTGAGATTCACATTTCAAGAACTGTTTTTCTTGAAGGAGAAACTTGGCCCTGGTGAGTGCAACTATATACTGGTATTATGGAAAACAGCTACAGATGAACACCTGCAACTGTGTATGAGGTAAGACTGAAAGGGATCTCCAGCGTCCAGCTCAAGCTCCAGCAATGATTAAAAAAAACCCCTTGCATTTGTCCTAGAAAAGGATAATTTTACAAGATTTACACACATCCAGAATGAGACATGGATTTTCAATGCTCAACCAGCAGTGCCCTCAGGAGCAGTGGCCAAGAGAAGCTGCCCAAGGAAGAACACATTTGTTTTGTTCGTATCAGCAAAGTTTCCCTCAATACTTCCTGGCATCCAGAAGTAACTCAGGGATTTTTTCAGCCAGAGTGTTTGTCCCTATACTTCATAACACCTTCTTTTTTTCCATTATTATTTCCAATTACTTTTTGAGCTCAATATTCAGCAGGGATCATCTTCCACACAAGAACTCCCACAGCCAAACTCCATACTATGAAGAGTCATGTTCTTTGCCTTGAATTTATCACTTTCCAATTTGATTTCATGGTCTTTTGGTATGAGAAAAGAGTGACATTGGTCATTCTCCATTATCCTTCATCTCACTATCATTCATTCATTCATTCCAGCCTTCTGGAAATCCAAGATTACTGCCAGCCATGTCTTCCTCATGCACACACTGGATGACTCATTCCAAGCACCTGGTGGTTCCGGAAGCCAGTAAGAAAGGAAAACAGTCCATGCAACCATCCTATCAGAACTTTTAAAATATATCAAGTTCATCACAGTGAAGTCTGAAAAAGTGAAATTCTTGCAGATGCCGTTTCATACCGTGGAAGTCTGCATTATCCATTAAACACGCTCTAATAAGCAGATTACTTTAAGAACTTAAATCTAAACTGAAGTGCATCGTAAAAATCAGCTCTTCAGTTTCTTTTCTTTTTTGGCCTGTTCACAGAATTCCAACTTTAATTTTCCCAAGGAGATACTCTCAAGCCTGTGAAAACTTTCTGAAGTCACTCAACTTTGTGAAATCATAATTAAATTATTAACTATAAAAAGAAAATGTATCCTGCTGAAGGATCACAAGGTGGAGCTCTAGCCTAAAGCTAACTGAAGAAACTCAAAAAGACAGGTCATCCAGAGGTTGACCTAGTTATTTCTCTGCAATAAACTTTATAACATATTGCTAAAACTGCAATAATATTGTAGCATATTTGCTTTACCTTTATATTTAGATTACATTAAGACACCAGAGGATTCCTGCATCTTTTCTGAAATAAAGGCATATACATGTTTGATTCCAGTTACTCTTCCAAAGATGGAAATACACACACAGCTGCTGTAGTATGACTAGTCTCAGTATTTAGCTTTCCAAACAAGCAGAACAATTATAATAGCAGAAATAGTGTCTCCCTTTATTATACCTTGCTATTTAAAACTGCTAACAAAACATTAATGAACTCAAAAAACAACCAGAAAAACAGGAGTAGTCCAGTCACACTAATCATACACAATGCTTCCAACTATAAATGTAGGAGGGGTTTCTATTTAAAATAATTTGACTGTTAAAAGCAAGAGCTAAGCATGACACAATATCAAGACCCTAAATGTATCTTCACTGAAAAAAGATTTACACCTTAAAGGTTATTAATCCCTATCACATGAATAATTAATTTAGGTATGGTTGTGATTAACTGAAATACACTGGCCAAATGTTGAGTCTGCCAAAAGCTGACAGAATTCACCAGCACAATTCACACAACACATGTGCTGTGATCAGCAGTTGCTGAGGGCTACCTGTCCTCTCACAATTCCTGTTACACGCACAGACAGCCTAAACATACATTAATATAGTTCATTGAGCAGCCTTTTTTAAAAGAATATACCTAAATACACATATACACACATACAAAAAATATAAAGAATCACAAGATCAGTCCCAGATGCCTGTGTTTCATCAACTTGTGTAAATGCAGTAACTCCAGTGTTATTTAACAAGCTCACAGTGAGGTTTCACGTAGGTGGGGTTTGATTTGGGGGCGTTCCCTACACAGGCACTTTTTTTTTTTTGTTGCTGTTGCTTGGCATCTATTATCTGGAAGTTTTATAAGACAAATCAGTAAAGCAGTTACCATTTTTTTGTGAAGGCAGAGATGCAAAGCTAAAAAGAATGGCTACATGGCCAGAACAAAGATTTTGGTAATGCAGGATTGGCTGTTCAGAGATGTATTGATTTTTTCCCTGTAACTCAATTAATCACCTGTAAAATCAAGGACCTCACTTGATTCAGAATATTACAACTTCTAAAACTATGATGTTGAAGCGTGTGGCTAAAGTTCACCTCTGAATTATTTATCTATCCATGAATGAGAGATGCTGATGCTTCAGGACCAATTATGCAGCAGCAACAGTTAAAATGCAAGTCAAATAAAATAAAGGATCAGAAATATGTCCAATATTTTCCCCTAACTATTTTAGAAGAGAAAGCTATTATGAGCTACATCATGCCCCTCACTCCTTTTCTGAGAGAC